AAAGGTGATGAAAGAAGCGAGAAGAAATAACATGGCTGCAGGCATCTGAAAGTTGGAGAGATTGTTACAAAAAGAAGATTCAGGTTGAGTATATGCGTGCGAATGATGAATGAAATATATAGGAGTTTTGTCTTGGTGATTGGCTTAAAGAGGTGATAATCAGATATCGAAAATCAATCAACTATAGAAAGTCAGGTTAAGTCAAGTCAAGTCATCTTTGTTTCTTTTTTTTTTTTAAAAAGCAACTCAATTCATCTTTGTTGTTTTTCTTTTTTTTTAAACAGCGAGTCAAGTCATCTTTTTTTCGTTTTTTTTTCTAACAGCGAGTCAAGTCATCTTTTTTTTTTTTTTTTTTTACGGCAAGTCAAGTCATCTTTTTTGAAAAATAGGTAATGAAGCAAGTCAAGTCATCTTATACCGCATTCCACGCGTCGTTGTTTACTTAGGATTTGTTGTTTCAAAAGTAATTCGTGAATTACATTCTTAAGTTTTGAATTTAATATTTTCTATTAACACTTTTAATATATTAATATCTAATTATTGTCCTTATCAAAAAAGAAAAAAGTCATTTTATACCTACGAAAGTAGTTTTTAACTTTCCAACTTACATGAGACTTCCTAAATTTAGGACCCACTACAAAAATAAAAAAAAGACTTAGATTAAATTATTAATTATTAAATTATTATTTTTTGTCATAAATTAAAATTATTGACAAAATTTAAGCTATTAATAAAATCTTTGTCACTAATATTTTTAATGATGATTTTGATATTTGTCGTAGAAAATATTCATGTTACTAACGAGTAATTTATAAACATTTTATTTATCACAAAAGAACTTTATCACGATAATTTTTGTCACAAAAATTATAACTGAAGGACAAAAATAAACATTACAAATACTATTATAACAAAATATTTAGTCATTAATTATTTAAATTGATATTAAAGTAAAAAAGATATTTTTGTAATTATGACACACATTTATGATGAAAAATCTTGTCACAATAGAATTATTTAGTCACAATATTTATAATTTCATAAAAGTTTTATGATTTAAAATCTAAATCTATAAAAAAAAAGAGTTTTATTAATAAAATTTTTGATAAATTCTTAATGATATGAAAATATTGCTAAATAAAAATAAACAAATGATAATTTTTAAATGGATAATGACACGTTTACCCTTATTATCCACAAACACTTTGTTACACCCTTCAATTTCCGTTATTTTCCGTTAATTACACCTTAACTCCGTTACCATCTTCCCTTTCTCCTACTTGCTATTTACCATCCTCACCAACCAGATCCATCTTCCTCCTCACCTCCTCCTCATCCTCTTCATCCATTATCTTCTTCCTCTTTCTTTCTTCCTTCTTTTTTTTTTTCCTCTCTTTCCTCCATCATCCTCCTCCAAGAGAACCCACGGGGTTCTTCAAGAGGACCCAGATTTGGGTTCTCTTTATCTGGGTTCTCTTGAAAAAGAACCCATGGAGAAGGAGAAAAAGAAAGGAGGAGGAGGGAAAAGAAGGTTGAAAATCAAAGAACCTTCCTCACCTCCATCCTTATCCTCTTCATCCATTATCTTCTTCCTCTTTCTTTCTTCCTCTTTTTTTTTTCTCTCTCTCTGTCCTCCATCATCCTCCTCCAAGAGAACCCAGATTTGGGAGAAGGAAAAAGAGGGGAGGAGAGGGAAGAAGAAGAAAAAGAAAGGAGGAAAAACAAGGTTGAAAATCAAAGAACCAAGATGAAATTGCTGGTTTTGGTCTAGTTGGTAAGGATGGTGAATAGCAAGGAGGAGAAAGGAAAGATGGTAACGGAGTTAAGGTATAATTAACGAAAAGTAACGGAAATTGAAAGATGTAACGGAGTGTGGGGATAATGAGGGTAAACATATTGTTATCCTTTTTAAAAATATTATTATATCAATATATAGTATAAAATAGACATAAAAATAACAAACCAATGAAAAAAATATAAAATGCATTAATAAACATGTCTTCTTCCTTTCTCTCATGTCATTTCTAGCCACCATCTAATTCCCTTGATTTGAAAACCAAATCTAAGAAGGAGAAAAAAAAAAAAAAGAAAAAGAAAAATCTAAGGCTTGCTTGATCCTCTTCCTCCCTTGAATTTGGCCATTAATCTAAGGCTTATTTAATCCTCTTCGTTCCTTAAATTTCCGTAAAAGAATTTTATCTTTTACTTCTTTCACACTTGGACCACTGTTATTTACCTAAGAATGTTACAAAAAGAAGATGCAGGTTGAGTATGTGCGTGCGAATGACGAATGAAATATATAGGAGTTTTGTCTTGGTGATTGGCTTAAAGAGGTGACAATTAGACATCGAAGTCAAGTCAACTATAGAAATATGGTGATTAATGGGGAGAGAACAAACAATCAGGTCATCTTGTCCTTAAAAAAGTAGTTTTTAACTTTCTAACTTACATAAAATTTCCTAAATTTAGGATCCACTACAAAAAAACTTAGATTAAATTATTGGTTATTAAATTATTGTTTTTTGTCACAAATTAAAATTAGTAATGAAATTTAAACCATTAGTAAAATCCTTATTACTAATATTCTTAGTGGCAAATTTTACACTTGTCACAAAAAAAAAAAAATTATAGTGATGAATATGAATATTAGTAATTTAATAATTATATGAATATTATAGCCAAACTTAATATAAGAGAAATTAATGTAATTCCTTTTTTTTTCAACCATTAACCTAAACCCATTATAACCCAAGCAAAGATACTTTAGATGGTTTAAGTTAAAGACATTAAGATAATGACAATTATTAAATAGATGATAGCAAATCACATTCAATTTATAAAAGTTAAAAAGACTGAATGATGAAACAGATACTTAATGGTTCATCACAAGAGTTCTTCAATTGTTTCTGTCAAGTGACAATTATAAACAAACAACAAAATTAATGATCTTGTACATAATTATAAGGATCCTCATCTGGAGGAATTCCATAACCTGTAACTCCACCAACTCCAGTCCAAAGTTGTTCACTTTCATTTTCAAGAGGAACTTGTGGGACATCTTCCTCATCATAAACAATACTATCAGTATCATCAAGGATTTGATTTGGCAAAGATTCATCAATTGCTGCCCAATCTACATCATAATCATCTTTATCAAGAAGAGTTGGCTCCTCAGCCACCCAATCAGCTAATATGTCAATATTGTCAAGACTAAGAGGATCCATTGCTTCTTTGCCCCTACAAATAATTCTATAAAAAAACAACAATCACAACTAACATTTGTTTGATTTCTATATAAAACATAAACGTGCATAAAGTATATGCAAAAAAAAATATAAATAAATAAAGCAATTATAATATTTTAAAGATATTATACCTTTCTCGAAGCTTCAAATTATAACGAACAAACACAAGGGCATTCAACCTTTCATGCTCTAGCTTGTTCCTCCTCTTAGAATGAATAAAATCAAAAGCACTCCAATTCCTTTCACATCCAGTTGCACTTGTGCATTGGCTAAGCACTCGAATTGCAAACTTTTGCAATTCGGGTGCATCCGTTCCAAATTGATCCCACCATGCAACTATAAAAACAATAAAATACAATGTGCATTAAAATAAGTAAAATAAAAACTTTTTAAACAAAATGAAGAGAGAGCTAAGATGAAAGAAAATTACCTGGAGTTAACTTTTCTCTCTGACGAATAGCCAAACTCATGCCAAAGGTCCCTGTAGCTTTTTTATACTCCTCAAGTTGTGAACTAATGAGATCTTGCTTATCCTCATCCGGTATCAATGTTGTTAAAGTATTAAGCAAACCTCTCATAACAGTAGTTTGTTTGTTGAAGCTAGGTTTAAAGTAGATACCTGGATTAAGAAAGCAACCAGCTGCAGGTAATGGGCTATAAAGTTGCTTATCCAATCTAGCATCAATCACATTAACGTAAGGCATGTAGTGAGACAACCTATTATTAAAATTCTTTTTTATTGTCTCCTTTGCCTTATCAATTGCCTCATACAAGTAGCCCATGCTTGGCTTCTCTTCATTATCCACAAGTCGAAGCATTCTCACCAAAGGTTCACTGATTTTGACAACTACTATGCAATTAGACCAAAATTCTTTATCTTCCAAGATAATTTCACATATTTCTTTCCCAACATTGCTTCTTGCATACCGAGAACCAACCCATGCATCACTTGTAAACATTTGTCTAAGTTCCTTCTTAAATTTCAACAAACATTGGATGCTTAAAAAGTGAGTAGCAAATCTCGTAACAGCAGGACGACACAAATCTCTCCCATTTGTGTAGTCTCTCCTCATTAATGCTAGCACCCATGAATGATTATATATGAACTTTGTGACTTTTCTTGCCTTTCCTATAGTAGTATCAATCACAAGAAAGTATCTTGCATCAGAAAAATTTTCTTGCATCAAAAAAATTTTCTAACATCAAGTCAATACAATGGGTAGCACAAGGAGACCAAAAAAATGTGTTGTACTTTGCTTCCAACCTTTTCCCAGTAGCTTTGTATGAGGCATCATTGTCTGTTATAAATTGTACAACATTCTCCACTCCTACTTCTTTCACCACTTCATCAAACATCCTCTCCAATGTTTCAGCATCCTTTGTCAAACCAGAAGTGTCAATGGACTTCAAAAACATACTCCCTCTAGGACAATAAACAAGAAAATTGATTATTGGTTGTTGTCTTTGATTTGTCCATCCATCAGCCATAATTGAACAACCATTAGTACTCCATGTTGACTTCAAGGATAAAAGTCATTCATTAACCTCATTTACTGCACATTTTAAGAGAGGACCCCTCAAATCCTAATAACTTGGTCCCTTGAAACTTGGTCCCATAGATGTGATAGCATCCCACATTGGCAAATAATATTTTGACGTGCAGCATGGAAAGGCACATTAGCATCATACCACCATTTAGCAATAGCCATCCTAGTAGCTTCTTGTTTTTCTTTTGATTGCAAAGCACTTTTTATACTTTTCTGTGCTCCAAGAGTTGTCCTTGGTACAAATAGGAATTAATATTCCTTTTTTGTTGTGCTACATGTGATTGAGATTGAGGGATCTCTTCAATTTCATCATCTTCTTCAACAAATGTTTGTGACCCACATTGACTCCCAACCATATCTCCAAGTCTCTTTCTCTTTTCTTTCCCTTTCCTTATCTCACTTAACAACTGTTGCATTTGCCATTTTACATCTGCTGAAACTTTTTTGCATGCACCAACATTGCCTTTAATTCCAGCAAGGTGCTCTTTCAATCTAGTAATTCCACCCCTTGTATAAGCTTATCACAATATAGACATTTTGTTTGATTCCTCTTGCCTGGGACAATCAAACAACGCGCCCAAGCAGGATCATCTGTTTTAGAAGGGACAGATCCAATATAATCACCAGTAGCAATCCCTGAACCATTAGTATTCATAATGATATCCTACAAAAACAACCTCGAGGAAAAAAACAAATAATTACACAACAAAAATGAAAAATATCATAACAACCCTGCTAATTAAATCATGAAACTGCAGAGAATAAGAAATGGATCTAAAAATGACAAAACTACTTAAAGAAATGCACATTCACCAATAGCACTGAACAGTCGGCATTCATGATTCAACAATCAGCACTCGACATTGAACCAAAAAAATTAAAGGCATGGCATTAGTTATTTAGTTCCCAACCAAAAAAATCAAATTCTAATAGATGCAATCAATTGTACAAAATGAGATCCAAATCTCCAATACACGGGCAGGGGACTATGCCTAAATACCAAGAGGTCCAAGACACCTGCATTTCTATTTTATACTAGGACTGAGGAGTTCGACTTCGACATGGACATGATTTGAATTTTTTTTTTATACACGGGCAGGGGACTATGTAGCTAGCAGCAGTATGCATACCAATACCAACAGAAAGAGTAATCTCGGAATGAAAATGTGAAGATACCTGAGATGGAGCTAGGCTGCTGGTTGCTGGAGAGTGGAGGAAGAGAGAGTAGTGGCCAGATCTGGACCGCCGGCAGCAGCTAGAGTGGCTGGACCACCTGCGAGGAGTGGAGCTCAAGCCTCAACAACCGTTGGATGCTGGAGAACAGAGGAGAGGCACGATCTGAAAGTGCAGCGTTTAATGAAGAAGCTTAAGGAGATAGAGCAATGGCTGGAGGCTGAAGTTGGAGATCGACGACTGCTGGAGAAAATAGGAGAGGCACGATTGAAATTGCAAGGTTAAGTCAAGAAGAAGGTGCCCCCAGCCAAAATGACGTCGTTTTGGTTGAGGATTCTTTTTTTTTTTTTTTCCTTCTTGCATAATGTACCGGTCAAATTTCGGTGTACTGGTCGGTACCCGAAATTTTGGCCGGTACATCAAAATTTGACCAGTACAATCGAAATTTGACCGAAACAAAATTTTAACTTATTTCATTTCGGCTAAGCTTCAAAACCGATACATACTGGTCGGTACAGCCGGTACGAAACAGTACAAACTACTTTGCTATATATCGACTATCAAGTTTGAAAAATAGGAGTACATATGGAGAACCTTAGAAAAGGTTGCAAATTACCTAACTTTTGAACATTTATATGTTGGACCAGTAAGCCATTTAGGACTCTAAGTCTAAAAAGGATTCTATGGCAACACAATACCCACCAGTTACCTCTCTAACTTTTAATTACCCTCAAATTTTTTTCTTTTGTAAATCCAATTACCCTTTGTTTAGTTAGAGAAAAAAAGGGGGAAGGGAAGAATATTCCTTATATTTCCCTCCAGTTCCCTCCCATCCTATAATATCCAACAATGAATTAGCTACAAGTTTACATGGTCTGCTTACATCTCAGTTGAGATAGTTCACTACTAGAAACACTCCATGGCAACATAGCACCCATTAACTACCTCTCTTACTCTTAACTTTTACCATCAAGAATATAATGCCCCTAATCCCATATCGGTGGGAAATTGTAAGTGAATTTGGTATATAAATGTAGAGACCAATCATTACTAATAACTTAAATGTAGAGACCAATCATTATTAACAACTTAAACTTAAGTTTTTAAAGACCCGCAAACCTTAACTTAAAATATTGTTAGGCTAGTGGTGGGTTTAAGCTAAGGTGATTAGGAACCTCTCATGCAAATATAAACAATCGTATTTTTCTTTTCCTTTTT